GTACATCAGGTATGATGATCGGCTGATCATCATACAGGCCCAAATCTGCGGCGGGAACAATCTCGGCTGAGAAAGTTCAAGTAGACTTCGTTGATTTCCCCTCAGAGGTCAGCGTTGAGATGCAGTAGAAAAACTCTAGTCTTGGCTGCACGGTGGGATGTCTGGGGAAGCAGGGCGCTTCTTGGAGGCGGCGGACTCGTCCCGCCTCTCCACCACTCTAGCGGAACACCAGGCGGAGCGGGGTCGACCAACAGCAGTAGACTGGCGAGGGGTTCAGGTGTATCAGTCATGGCTAGACTCTGCATATGCGACCTATCTGCTGCGCAGCGTCTCAAACGCATAAAGTAATTATTTATTAAAGGCAGAAATGGATAAATTAGTACCGCAACTGCAAGCGTGAATAAAATGAACATGGCGCAGTACAACTAGGGCATATTAAATGCGGATCAGCAGCAGAATAAAAAGCGTAATCTGCAACAGAACAGAATTTTTATCAGCGTAATCCACTGAAACAAACACGGCGTCCGTGAATAAACAGTAGAAACACGACTAAATATCAATATATAATTGTTGAAGGATACTAGCTAAACCTCTATAGATGTCTATACGAGGTAACTAACTAAATATAATCAAAGGATATAGTGTGTCGGGAGACACAGGTGCTCTCACGTCCAGCTCACTGGGCGAAGAAGGAGAGAGTGAGGCACATGGGTGGAGGTGGCGCCCTCGTTCCCGCGCTTGTGGAAGGGAGGTAACTCGTGCTGAGTACTAATTAGTGATTTTACATTGAAGGGAGCTTCAATTAGGGAGATACAAGTGTTCCACTATGTTCGCAAGAAGAAGAAGACAAGCAAAAAGAGCATGAGTCAGGATAAGGAAAAATAATAAAGTTTATATATTGACGGGAGACGAGTAATGCCCCTATACAACCAGAGACCATATAATAGATTATATGGTCACTGATACAACATAGGGTGTCGAGGGTCGATTGTTGATGACTTGGGAATGGGGTTTATAATTCCTTGTCCCAATTTGTCAGGCACGATTCCTGTGCTAAAACACACGTTGAACAATCTAAGGAGTATGGGTATGACGTTCTTTCTGTTGAGTAATTCTACGGGAATGTTGTCATTTCCCTGTGCTTTCCCACATTTGGCTCGCGCAATCACTGATGTCAGTTTTGTGAGAGTGACGTCAGTGTTCAAACCCTCAGGGTTGTCCCGAACGCCGCTGTTGAGAAGGTCAGAGTAGGCTGTCTTCCAGGTTTCCGTGACGACTACTTCATTTCAGCATATGCTCCCATCTTCGGCGAAAATTTCCATGGGGATATTCTTTACTCTGTTGTTCCCGATTCTTTTCTAGAATTCACCACTATTTTTATCATATATTTCTTCCAGCTCATTTTGTACTTTTAAAACATAGGACCTCTTGGCTTTTTGGGCTGCTTTGTCAAATCTTTTCCTATGTCGTTTAAAATCTTCCCTGTATATGTGCTTATGCTCATGTTTATTTCTACACCACAGTTTTTCAGCAGAGCACATACTGTTCCCAAGTTTAGTTAGTTCTTCATTCCACCAAAGCTTTTCAACTGGTCTATTTTTGTTGTCTTCTGAATCAAGTAAAACGGTTCTTTTCACAAGTTTCTCCTCCATCTCACCGTGAAAAACAGACACACACTCATCATACTTGTTACCAATGTCCTTGCATCGGTTTCCATGTCTTCAATCACTTTATTTAGTAGAGATAAACTCTCGTCCGATGTAAGGAAATCAGCAGAGATAGATGTTATTCCTTGAGTAAGTGTTGTGTTGTCGGGTTTAACGATTCCTTGGGTTCCAACTACAGACTCACTTTCCATTCCAACAGTGAGTGGTCCAACTTAAGAACTTCCTGTGCATCAACTGTGAGCACGCACTGGGCTGACTGTGCCAAGACATTGGGAGCGAGTAACTGTGAAGTCAGTGAAGCGAAGGAACCACGCAGTAATTTATACATTAACAGATGGTGCCTTGCTTGAAACACATGTAAAATTGATATTCATAGTGTTTCTACCATTTAGAGTAAGTGAGTGAGTAAAGTTTTACGCCGCACACAGCAATATTCCAGCTATGTGGCGGCGGTCTGTAAATAATCGAGTCTGGAGCAGACAATCCAGTGATCAACAGCATGATCATCGATCTGCGCAACTGGGAACCGATGACATGTGTCAACCAAGTCAGTGAGCATGACCATCCGATCCTGTTAGTTGCCTCTCACAACAAGCATGGGTTACTGAAAATCAATTCTAACCCGGACCTTCACGGGTTCTACCATTTAGAAGACAATAGTTTCCATTCACTAAAAAATCAATAAAAACTTTACCATGAATATTGAGCGACTCTAGTGTCTAAGTCATAGAGCAACTATCTGACTCCATTTTGAGTGAATGGTCTATCCGAATATCGACTCCATGGGATAGTGGATACAGCGTCTGTCCCGAGAACGATCCTATGGTATTCCGACATATAGCACAGTGGATAATCTTTCCTGCTTCCGACGTTGGTGCATTGGCTTTAAAAACGTTTGCCAATCCACTGACATCTGGTTTGGATAGAGCAGTTGCAACAGAACATCTCCTAAGTAATCTAATGGAGAGATTGTCTTTCTTGACCAACTCCGCGATGTACTGGATAGGTTGTTTGCCCATTCTTTTGTATTCTGGACTGAGGATATCCTTTACACGAATTAGTGGATACAGTGTTACGTGACCGACTCCATGGTATAGAGGATCCACAGCATGCCTGGAGACTCCATCCATGCTGTATGCCTGGATACCAACTCCGCGGTGTAGAGGATCGACGGTATGCCTGGAGACCACCTCTGTGGTGTTGAGGATCGACAGTATGTCTGGAGACAACCTCCAAGGTGTAGAGGATCGACAGTATGTCTGGAGACCCCGTCCGTGGTGTTGAGAATCGACAGTATGCCTGGAGACAACCAACAAGGTGTAGAGGATCGACAGTATGCCTGGAGACCCCATCCATGCTGTATGCCTGGAGACCAACTCCGCGATGTAGAGGATCGACAGTATGCCTGGAGACCACCTCCGTGGTGTTAAGGATCGACAGTATGCCTGGAGACAACCTCCAAGGTGTAGAGGATCGACAGTATGTCTGGAGACAACCTCCAAGGTGTAGAGGATCGACAGTATGTCTGGAGACCCCATCTTTGGTGTAGAGAATCGACAGTATGCCTGGAGACCACCTCCGTGGTGTTAAGGATCGACAGTATGCCTGGAGACAACCTCCAAGGTGTAGAGGATCGACAGTATGTCTGGAGACCCCATCTTTGGTGTAGAGGATCGACAGTATGCCTGGAGACCACCTCCGTGGTGTTAAGGATCGACAGTATGCCTGGAGACAACCTCCAAGGTGTAGAGGATCGACAGTATGTCTGGAGACCCCATCTTTGGTGTAGAGGATCGACAGTATGCCTGGAGACCACCTCCGTGGTGTTAAGGATCGACAGTATGCCTGGAGACAACCTCCAAGGTGTAGAGGATCGACAGTATGTCTGGAGACCCCATCTTTGGTGTAGAGGATCGACAGTATGCCTGGAGACCACCTCCGCTGTGTAGAGGATCGACAGTATGCCTGGAGACAACCTCCAAGGTGTAGAGGATCGACAGTATGTCTGGAGACCCCATCTTTGGTGTAGAGGATCGACAGTATGCCTGGAGACCACCTCCGTGTAGAGGATCGACGGTATGCCTGGAGACCACCTCCGTGGTGTAGAGGATCGACAGTATGCCTGGAGACCACTTTCATGTGGTGATGGATTGTGTCTGTTCATTGTATCTCGGTGAGCTCCAACCCCTAACACCGACATAAGTCAAGAATAGTAGAAGCAGCCACCCACACACGTGCAAACACGTCGCTACACGGGTGAAATATTACTGTATGCAAAGTTGAACCCCAAATCACTCCACGAATTATTCTTACGAATGGATAAATGATCGTGTATATTAACATGTTATGTCCGCTTCTTTCGAGTTGTCTGATCGTGGATAAGGACGTGTTTTTGAATATGTGAGTGAGGCTGAGGCTGAGGCTGAGTGAGTGGCGGATTTACTGGTATGGGAGTGCATACACAGATTCGAAACAGGGGCGGATACAGCTTTTTGAGAATGGAGGTGTGTGTCTGTGTGTGTGGGGTGTGTGTGTGTGTGTCTGGTTCCGCCTATGCTATCTATGTTACTTCACACATGAACAAGCAAATTACACTTATAAAATGGAACTACCGATAAATGATTATAAATAAACAATTGAACACAATGGACTGTAATTTTTTTTTAAAATATGAAACTCAAATACTGTAAACTACTACGTTGCACCCCGTTTCTTGGTTTGCAGTTGCTTCACTCAGGTAACATTAGTGGTGGAAACATTACGTTTTAAGTTTTTCGATAAAAATGTCTCAGCTCGACTCACAATGAAACAGTGACACGGCAACGTTCGCAATGTTTTACACTCCCACAATGCATCCGTGGAATGTGGCTTGACTAGTCAGCTTTATCAGGATGTACCTATCTAAACTTACATTGGAAGTAGAAATGCGACGTTCCTATTGCCCCATCGGCAACTTACAATAATCACAGGCGTAATAAAGATACAATATAAAACATATTTAACCCGAATGTGAACTGTATTCAAACTGTTTAGTTTTACGTTGGGGTTCAGGCTTGTCAATGGAACAGCACGCAAGTTAGCTCTGAGTGAGGATTGCTAATTTAGGTCACTGACACTGTCGTTCCTCGGTTTCTTTTCTGCCTGAGATTAATCGTTGGGAAAGTATTAAATTTGGCATCTTAGAAAAGCGTCATCGTACTTTAACTGTAATAGGTCAGGGTAAAAGTGTACTTCATTACACTATACATGGGGGGTAGAGAGAACTGTATTTCTTAAACATATACTCAGCACACGTACTATAAGTACAATATATAACTACAGTAAACAGCGCACCTGACCATGATGAAAGCAGCCACAGTAGTATGAGCAGTAATTTCCAGTCTGCAAATAAGAAAATAAAAGAAATAAGGAAACTCAGTTAGACTAAAAATGACAAATATTTGTTGCATTGATATTCCAAATGTTTCCATGGTAACACATATGTATCATACGAACAAGTAAGAAACCTGGGGCCCCATTAATAAAGATTCTAAGAATGAAAAATAATTCTTAACTCTGGTTAATTCTAAGAATAAATCAATTTAAATATTATGAAAACTTGTAACATGAAGAATGAGAGTGACTTCCCTTGGCAAACGGGATACCTAAAAACATTGTATTATACTGGAACGTAACAAATCCTTATAAAAATAATGCAAGTATATATATAATTAATTATCATGTATACAGTAATTAATATTATAATAATATAGTTAAACAATTATAAGTCTGAGACTCCTAGACCTCTACATTACTGTGATGTTTATTTTTGTGTAAAATAAATCAAAACCCTTGAAAATATTTACTTTGTGAATGATTATCATTCATTAATTTAATTTGGATAAATTAATGTCGGTATGTTTCTTATTTTGTTTATACCTTTAATATTTGACCTATTTGAATATTGATAATATTAAAAAATATACACAAAAAACTTGTTTGACATCAAATATAGCCTCCCTATAAATGAATTTTTTTACTATATGAAAAATCAAATGATATCACAGATTTTTCTACATTTCTATAAGTAATATGAAATATTTCAGTGCACACAAGGAAACTAGATGTGTAGTGGAACAAGGCATAGGACAGATGAAAAGAAGATTCACGTTCTTCATGGTGAAATTCGTCTCAAACCCCAAAAGGCGGCAAAGGTTTGTAAATTCAATGTCTTACCTCCATTGTCACTGATGAAATTGTGATATTGTTAATCATATGAAATTATTTGAATCATCATTTATAATGGAAATGCTTTCATGTATTGTTATACAAAGGTGACTGTGAATGTATGTAATGAGATTGAGTTATTTCCAAAACTACAGAATTAATTCAAATGTTAATTCAAAATAAAGAGGCAATTTTTTATTCCTTACAATGTACCTCAGAATGTAAGACCCTATATCAAATGTAATATAACACATTAACAGGTTATAACAGTTTGTGCTATGCTGCACAACATCTGTAAAGACAGAAACATTGGCCTGCCTCCAGGGAATCCTCCACTACCAGGCAACAATGGCTTCAATTTGCCAATCGTCCAACCAGCTGGGAATGGTCTCCGATACAGACAGCAGTTTGTAAACACTCACTTATAAGTTGAAAGGTATAATCTTAGATGCAATGAGAAAGAAAGTATTTTATTTGAACAACCAATTTTATTGTGTTCAATTCAACAGACAACAGATAACTAAATACAAGTTAATGACAAAAGAAATTTTCAAAAAGCATCAACAATATAATTTACTTTTAACAATTTATGAAAGTCAAAAAGTAGCAGTTCATTAATTGCTCCATATGTATTCAAAATTTCATTAAGATAGTGTAAATCTAAGAAGATGAAATATGAACATGGAGGCTTTAGTATTCCAAAGGTAGAAAATATTATAAAATCCCCAAAACTTGCATGGATTACAAGACTGCTGTGAGACAATTCTACATGTATAGAAAATGCTTCACTATGTAATCCAAATATTAAGAGACTGTGGATTGCGGATGGTGTTTATAACAAATATATGTTATCCACTGTTTATGGATGGATGTTGTGGAGTCATGGTCTGAATATGTAACAATTTGCTCAGAATGTGACTCATAGTACAGAGGTCTACATCAATCACTTTGGCACAACAACAATATTTTGCTTGAATATATAAAAAGGAGAAATTTCACTTTTAAACATGTGGAAAACATAATTCCCTGCCCTATTTTACCTTGTAATACAGTGAAACCAGCCAACATCAGCACCTGTCTAATCCGGCACACTGTCAAAACGGGCATACAATTTCTAACATTTCACAACAATATTATGATCATTAAAACATTGTCTAATCCGGCACCTATCCCAACAAGCAATGTTAACTGTAATTAACATTTTCTAAACTGGCATAGAACCCATAATCCAAGTATCTCCAAAATAACTTGTAGTAAACAGTTTCACAAAACACTATGTTAAATATGTTTAATAAAAACAAATGGGTAATAAAAATGGGAAGAAATATTTGTTCGAGACTTCCAACAGAATAAATTGGAAAATATTAATTTGATTGCTAATCGATGTACTCAAAATGTTAATCTAAACTGGTTTCAATACAAGATAATTCAGAATATTTTGACAACTAATAATCACGTGCATAAGTTTGGATACATTGTTTCACCTGTGTGTTCATTTTGTAAATAGGTCCCTGAGATTGTTATATATGTATTACGTGATTGTACCCAATCAAGCAAAGCATGGAAAGAGTTGGCTAAATGGTTAGGAAAGTTGGGTGAAGGATACATTGATTTAACACCAGAAAATAGCCGTTTTTCATGTACAACATGAACAATATTATGTATCTACACATAGATATGTATTTGTAAACACTTGCTGGAAAATAATGGGTAATGTGAAAATGACATATCTTGCATGCTACCAGATGCAGTCAAACCTGCACAAGCCATGTTTCATATGCAATATGAAACAATTCTGTATATCTACGCATACCTATGTACATGTAAACATCTGGTGAGAAATAATGGGTATTTTGAAAATGACTTAGGCCCTATGAAAAAATGTCATCCACACTTAATTGGTAATGCTTTTTTGTGAAAAGTCATGAACACGTATCATAATTGATAGAATTGATAAAAATGTTAATGATATAAGCATGTAGGTAAGTACTCTTTTCATTATCGTTAGTCAGAATGTATTTTGTTTTACATTTTCTTACCATACTAAAAGCCAGAGGAAGTTTTCTTAAGCAATAATTAATATGTTTGAGTTGATTTATGATCTGATTGAAATTTCTACATATCATGCTTAAAGTTCATTTTTAAATTTTTTAATCTTTTTGAATACTGCAGCTGAGCTTCTAGGACATCAAGCTCCAGCTGGCGCTTCCTGGCCTGATGGTTCCTATCTTGATCTGAGCAAGGCAGTGGCGGATTTTGTACAGGCTGGAAGTCCTGCGTCTGCATGCTGTATGTGGGCTGCGCCGTCTGCACTGGAGGCATTGCTGCAAACAGGCTCTCCTTATCCAGTGAACTGTATATATAAAGAGTAGAAATAATGAGTGCACATGTTATTATACTGTAAGATACAATGCTGTTGAATAATTTTGTATATTATTGTGATGTATTTGTTTGTATGTATCCATGTTGATTATGTAAACTGATTATGATATAAAATGTTTCAAGGTGTCAAATAATAGATATACTGAATATTGACTAATCATCAATACCTGTCCTCCACACCAGCAAGTGTTCATCCTGTGTGTGATACGTTCATCCCTGCTACATCTATTTTCTAACAAGATACATGTAGATATTTCTAATAAAAGTCCAAAAGGAGAACAACTTCACACATTTAGCATAAATAGTACTCATTATTTTAATAATGTTTGGTTATATAATTATGTATTTGCAATTTCAATTTTACCTTGTCGTATCAATGACTTGGAGAAAGGAGGTGTCAGTGCCTTCCTCCAGTCCAGAAATGGAAACATTTGTTTCACCCAGGATGTCGTGGACTGTCTGAGCTACAGCTGAAAGTGTGGCAGTGTTTGGACCACCCCCTGTAAATATATGATTTAAAAATAACATATCATAATTAAAACATTAAAAAATAAACATTTGACATCATTTTATCACTGACCAAGTATTTCTAATTCCGTATCTGTACATCACACTTTTAAACTAATGATAGAGAAATGTTGTCATTCAAATAATATTATTAGCTTATTATCCCTTTGCATTTTCATTGATTAGATATTATGTTATACTTATATATTCTGCTAATTGTACAGATTAAGTGTAAAAAATGTAATTTTCTGAGTAAAATTGATATTTTATACTTATCCTGACTCATGTATTATTGCTTGTCTCCTTCCTTCCGCGAACGTTAGTGGAACACTTGCATCTCCTTTTTGAAGCTCCCTTCAAAAAAGCAGATGTAAAATCACTACTCACCATGAGTTGCCTCCTTCTCCGTTTTGGAGCCACCCGTCTTCCCACTCTCCGAATTGCAAGCCCGACACTTAGATTTTCTGGGAAATCCAAAGTGCCTAGCGGGAAGGTTGGGAGGGCTTACCTCATGAGTCAGGATAAGTATAAAATATCAATTTTACTCAGAAAATTACATATTTTTCCTTATCCTGACTCATGTATTATTGCTTGTAGAATCCTACGGCTTTGGTGGTGGGTCAAGCCACTTCTGGATTCCAATTTGGTGATTTACGTCTTGCGTACCCCCCCTATGGGAACTTCCTGGTAGCACTTCAATTTACTGCTAGGCTCTGCTGCTGCTGTAACCCTTTACTTCCAGCTTTCTCTGATGGGGGGACCACAATTGTTAACTTTTGGTCCTTGCTTCTGTTAACATTTTTATGTGGATTTTAGCATCTCCATCTCTGGATGCAAGCATCAAGTGGAGAAGCGACCCTTCTTATGTACGAGTACGTCCTTACAAGTACTGGGTCTTATCACTTATGCTAGTCTGTCTTAGACGTGCATATGGACTCTAAAGCTGTAACTCTCCTGAGTGTTGGCTTTTGCAAGTCATGTGATAAAAGGGCGAGACTCTGTCTCAGCGCCTCTGTGGAACTGTCAATTGTTGTGCTACAACAAGTGGGCCAAACTGGTGAATGCCAGAGACGTCCTTAGTGGCGATGTCTCTCAGGTAGTGGTTGGCAAACACCATGTCCGATTTCCAGAAGCAGCCCTCCATTATCGTCGTGATAGAGCAGTTTCCATGTAGAGCGAAAGTGTTGACGCCAGAGCTCTAATTTCATGTGGATTGGAGGCTCTTGGAGGATCAAGTCCTGCTGCTTTGTAGGCCCGTCAGAATGACAGTTCTCATCCATATTGAT